CAAACCAAACCCGTAAACTTTTCTACCCTTCGATAAGCGCACGAATGAAAATAATGTAACGCACCGCACACCCAAATCTATTGACGCGAACACACACACACACGTATACAAATTTACGTTTGTAAATGCATAGATGATTGTATATATGTATAAGTATAGGAACATATTCTCTTTACTAACGTTTGTGTGATTCTTTCATCATAGGTGGCCGTTCAACGAGCTACAACTACCCCTCGTTTCTGTAAACAGACGACTAGAAAGATGAAACGATGCAAGTTTTTTCAAACTTTTATTATTTTTGATTAATTGTTTAACAAGTTTTCTTATGATTGAAAATTCCAGTAAGAATTTATTGAATCAGTGACAGTAAATTTTTCCACGAAAACAATTATTTGAAATACGTAAGATTCTGGTTAAGTTGAATTGTGTGTTGTGTTGGGGTGAGAGGGGTTGAGTAGGTCGAGAATTATCGAATAAAATTTCGATTCGAAGAAACACACGTCTAACATCGATCGTAGGCGCATTCAAATGAAAGATAAAGCGGTCACGTTTCGAAGAGGGTTCTAAAAGACCTCGCCTTCGTCGTCGTCGACCCTAGTCCCGTGAAGCGACTCTGCGAATAACGCTGACGACATCGACAATAATGTAATAGCGCAAAGTAATTCAGCGAGTTACTGGCTACTTACTAAAATGCCTAGAGAGAGAGAGAGAGAGAGAGAGAGAGAGAGAGAGAGAGAGAGAGGGAGGAAGAGAGGAACGTTTACGAACTTTACATTTTTTACACGTGTAATCCTTTCGAAGTTACATCAGTTCCATTTGTAACTGAATAATCTCTTCCGTATTCGTTTGCCCTGGCGCCCATTTATCATCCGTCGGAAATTATCAACTTCATGGTTTTTTTATTTGTAAATTTGTTTATTAATATGTTTTATAAATTATTAATTATTGGGTTAGTTGAATAATTGTAAAAAGAATTGGAAGATAGGTTGCAAACAGAAATTAACTAAACCAACGTTAAGTGTTGCATTATCAGAGTACGGTACTTTAACTTAACACGCAATAACAAAATTGTATATTTGGCACAATTATAATTTAGTAAATTGTGGTGATGGTGGTGAATGTAAATTTCAATAAACTTAAAATACTAAAAAATAATTACACGTGTTTCATCGAATATTCCAATTGTATAACAAAACAAGAAAGGTTATTAAAAAATGGGATATTAGGCCCAATGATAATTTAGTAGCTGGTGGTGACGGTGAACGTAAATTTCAGTAAACTTAAAAATTGTTGCATGTGTTTCATCGAACATTCCTATTGTTCTAAAAAGCAATGGTTTAGAACTATAAATAATTTGTTGTTAAGGAAAATGTTGTTAGGAATCTCTAGAACATAAGTTCTAGGCTTTAAACATTCCTCTCTCTCTCTGTGGGTACTTGGAGCAATTGATCAAGTAGCAAGAGAGAGAGTGTTTACTGGTCCCCCCATTTGCTCGACTACATACGTGATGCTATGCGACATTCATTTGGACTGTCGATTGTTTGATGCTGTTGATGATTTAGACTATGCAGAATATCCGACAGCAGTAGCAACAGGCTATGTGCATTCTACATACTATCTTCATTTAATCATTTTCTCACATCAATAAATATATATGCATACAACCCCTTCCCCAACGCTCAACCCCAATCGTTGATTTCAATTTATGAACTTTGATGATGTTTAGGTTCTTTAGTATGATGTCAATTAAGGATTAGAATGTTAATATGTTTAGTGGTCTATGTGTTAACTGTATATTGTATTTTTATTTACATTTAGAATTTGTTCCAAATATTTTTATCATCAATAAATGTTTAATTGGGATTTAAAAATTAAAAGAAATATCTCGTATTTATAATATACATATATAGTTTTTTGTTTGATATAATTTGGTTATTGTATATTAGTTTATTGGTTTATAACATTTGGTTATAATAAAATGAAAGAAAAATATAAAGATATAATAAGAATAAGAAGTTAAAAAGTGTTTCATCATTTCGTTTAGGCTTTATTCTACTTGGGGGCACGTAACTGTTTAATACTAACGCGAATAACACTTAACTTAACGTTGGATAAGCGTGTGTATGCGTAATTGTTCTTAGTTGCGGGGGTGTATCATGATAAAAGATGAAAGAAAGAAAGAACGAGATAGTGTTAGAGATAGAAATTTATATTGAGAGAGTGAGAGAGAGAATATCAGACAATACAAGAGCGTGTTGTTTCTCGTGTTGAAGGAACGCTCACGATATTGGTATGATACATTGAGACAATGAGGCGTAAATAAGATAATGGTTGCGTTGTATGTTCTCTCTCTCTCTCTCTCTCTCTCTCTCTTATTCTCATTCGCATAAGTGCGCGCGCGCGTGAGCACACGTTAAGCAAGAAACGCGCGAGCTACTACTTCTCTCAAACGGGAGTGTGAGTTTAAGTGTTCCTTTTAAGGGTCTCCCCAATAAATGACTGCAAGAGATGAACGAAAGACACCATATAGGAATAAAGAAGAAACATCAACGGTTAGAAAGGAAAAAGGTTCACGTTACCATTCCCACCACTACCATGTTAACTTCGATGGGTTGTGGGATAGTTTGATGGTCGATGAATAGATAAGACATCGACCTACGGAAAGAAATGTTTGTAAGATGACCAGGTTTTTAGAATCAGTAGCAAGAATTTTATTACCTCTGTTGTTATGATTCGTTGAATTCTTTCATATTTTTTATTTATTTAATAATTTCAATGGTAGAAATTCGTAGTCGATTTTAATTGAATTAGAAAATCGTTGAAAATAAATATAGGATGTTTCTTCTTTTATTTTTGTTTTCTTTTCTTTTCATTCAGAATAAAAGAGAAAGGGTTAAAAAGAAAATAGTTCGGAAAAGGGTTAAGCTTGAAGAATAGAATATTTTGTAGAAGTTTTTCCACAGGGAATAAAATGGTCTTAGGTATATATCCATTAAAATCCTAAAATAAATACTAACGTTTTAAAAAGAGGATTTTTTACATTTATAATCCCATATGTTGCTTTTTCACTTTTTTTAAGTTCCCAATAAAATAATAAATAAATTTGTTCGTTTGTTGATTCATAAATATGTTCGTGAAGAAAAAGAGGAATAGAAAGTAGTTCCTACCGTTGTAGTTTTTAACCCTTTTCTTTCTAAATGTATTGGATTCCTTCAATCACTTTGATGAGAAACTTTAAAAAAAACTCACCTGGATATTCCTACAGCCATATTTTCTGATTTTACTATGTTTTATACAGACACAACAACAATAACTATGTGAATAGAAATAAATAGTTAGGGTTTTCTTTGCTAAGTTTTTTTTTTCCATTTTAAAGTATATACAAATATTTGACTATATAAATCTTACAAATAAAATTGTACAAGGGTTATTTATAATTTATTGAAATCTTGTAAGATTCAAAGATTAGAAGGATGAAAAAAAATTGACACATCATAAGAAAATCTTTTGAAATAAAATCTGTTGAAATAAATAAATTTAACAATTTTTACATCAGTAATATTTGATGGTGTTTAGGATTACACAGTTGCTTTGGATCTGGGATCTAGATTGAAAAGATCATGGTCAAGTTTACAAATATAATATAAATAATATAATATAATATAATAAAAACAATTGACACTACACTCAAAATTCTAATTGATTTAAATTAAGGAATTACAATATTTCCAATCTAATGAAATAAAAAATTGTAATTATATTTTATAAACTTTAAATTGATCTTTTCAATTTAAGTATATTGGAAAAAAATTAATGGATGTATAATAGATCAGACTAGAAATTTTTTTTTATAAAAGATTTTTTTGAACATTTATTTACGTTCATACACATGGCCAGTATTTAAGGCATATAACATATTTTTGCCATTTTTAAACCATGCGTTTTTACACATAGTTAATATATATATATATATATATATATATATATATATATAATGTATATATAAGACATTTTTAGAAATAACAATAATCATTTGTTATGAATTTGATTGATCTTTTGTTGTTATATACACAATGTACATACATATATATATACTGTATATATAAATTATATTTATAATAACAATATTTAAATATTTATATTTTTTTGACAACAATATTTAAATATTTATATTTTTTAACAACAATATTTAAATATTTATATTTTTTAATAACAATATTTAAATATTTATATATTATAATATAATATATATACACATATACATATATATATATATATATACACTGCAATTTTTCTGTACATATATACATATACACACACACACACATATATATATATATATATATATATATATATATTGCTACATGTAAATATTTATAACAATATCGACTAATATCATTTTCATATCAGTCTCATAATCGTTAAATTCATTGTTTACAAGACTGTTTATTAATAATAATAATAATATATATGCATGTAATATGTATATTTATTTACAAATTGATTATATTACTATGCGAATACGTTGTTCAAGGATGAATTAATGATATTAAATCAGTAATGATCAGTAATGGTGTTTATGAGAAAAATTGAGCCTGTAGATTAACCGAAAGAAATGGAAACTTAAATGCACAGTTTTCTTAATAACTTATTAACAAATTCTTAATATTTAATAATATTTGGCATGGGGATAATAATATTGGATCTCACATGACTTATCACTTTGAATGATTATAGTATTATTAAAAAAAAAAACAATCTAGTCGTAGTTTAAACTTATAGATAATTTTCTTAACGATATTTAATCTACACGCGATTAACTATTATTAGTAATATATTACAATTTGTATGTACAGATAGTGCGTCCTTTTTTTTTTTATTTGATGACTAGGACTTTAAATAAGATATAAATTAAAATTTACCTAAATATAATTAAATACAAAATTATAGCTATTACAATAATAGACCGCACAATATTCTAAAAAGATATCGTTTCGTAATGGAGTTTTCTGTAAATAATTATTCTATTGGAATTCAACAAAATGAATCGGGTCATTTTCTATTGCTTTTTTTCTGTTTTTCTGCTTTTCGTAAATTACTTTCTCGTTTGAATCACATCATCAAAGAAACCGACGTCTCGTCAAAAAATATAACTGAAAAGGGAAATAATTCAGTTGTAATTATTTAATTGGGTTCTAATAAAATAATAATAATAAAACAAAACAACAAGGGGAAAAAAATAATATTAGAAATTCAACTTTGTCTACCGGTTAGAACTGTAATGGGTTTTAGTAAAAGTTGAGGAGGAGAGTGAGGAATTTGCCTGTTGGTTTGTTGTACCATCGTGTTACCAGAACAAATTGAAACTGGTGGCGAGTGGGGGGACATTGGTTCGGGACTACTACCCGGTGACGCCGTATTGGAAGGTGGTTGACTCAATGCAGAAGGTTGATTGACTTGATACCTTTGTTGTTGTTGACTAAAAACAGCATGGCTAGGATGATGTTGATGTTGAGTTAACGATCTCAGTGCTGTGTAAAAATCATAAGGACCGGTAGCCGGGATGTTTGATATCGCAGAGATATTCGTTGGATAACCAGTCGAGTTTTGCAGTAACCTTTCCATGGAAAAAGAACCATGTGCTGGTGGTGCGGCGGTTGCTGGAACAGCTTGAGGTTTGCAAGGTAGACCAGTTGTGGTGGTTGTCGAAGCCGTGCCAGGTAAAAGGCTCGCTGGATAACCACCCGGTGGGTTGGTGTAAGCTGCAGTTGCAGCTGGATACATAGCACGATGTAAATAAGGAAAAGTGTAGAGGGTGGTATGCCAACCCGCTGGTGCATACGGACTTGGATACAAATTACTAAAGGACATGGTTCTTTTATAAGCAGCCATTCTCGATCTCGATACCGCGGACGATCTTCTTCTTAATTTTCCTGTCGTACCACCGATAAAAACATCGTCCGAGCTTGGATCCAACATCCAATAATTACCCTTACCAGGATCGTCGTAATGTCTCGGTACTTTGACGAAACATTTGTTCAACGACAAATTGTGCCTTATAGAATTTTGCCAGCCCTGTTTGTTGTTCTCGTAATATGGAAAATTCTTCATAATGTATTCGTAAATACCATTAAGGGTTAATCGTTTATCCTGACTATTACGAATGGCCATCATTATCAATGCGTTGTAACTGTATGGTGGTTTTTCAGGTTTTTTTTTAACATCGCTCGTTTGATCATCGTTATTGTTATCACGCGAATGATTTTCATTATGATTGGCTTGATCCGTGGAATTGGTTGAATTTGAATTTCTCGAACAATCCAATGGGGGTGGAGTTTCTGTACCATCACCTGTTACGTCCAAATCACAGGACTCGTCACTATCGTCGGCGTGCGATGCATCGGACGAAATCGATTGACTGACCGACGGTACAGAGGAAGCTGTTCCAGAACAAGCTTCCGGTAATATACTACGAATACTAAAACTACTTTTAAGGGTAGTTCGTGGTGGTGGTGGCGATGCCGCCGTCACCGTGTGTTGTTCATTAGAACCCTCCATGTTAACCATCATTTGTTAGTATTCCACAATCCCCAAATTCGTAAATTAATGTTTACTACACTTTTTTTTTTGACGACGTACACACGCGTATTCGATACGGTAGTTAGTCCAATCGAAAAGTCAATAATCCTTTTTTTGTTCACCTAATTAGGACAAAATGTAATAACAATCACGCACATCACAGCAAACAAACTAACACTTGTTAATTATTATCCTGTTTAAACCCCTTAATGGGTTCACACTTCGTTGAACGTAATCGTTGTTTTATTGTCCAATAATAACCGTGAATTCCAACAACGTTCATGCACTTATTTCTAAATCGAATAATAAGAAACGTTAAGAAGGAACTGAAAAAAGGTTGGTTGAACAGATGCAACATAGGAATGAAGGAATACAACCGAGGCGCTCCGTCGGAGCATCTGCGCGCTAGTGGCAACTTCCCCACCAGGGCTAGCTTCTTATACATGGGTTTAAGTCACGCCTACTGTGTAACCAAGTTAAATGAAAAGAGGAGGGTTCGACCAATGGTAATATTCCTATCCCTCCCTAAGAAGGTACAAAACGCTTAGGTTCTCCCACCAATGGGCTCTTTTGCGTCCAATGTTTGACAGCAAACAATGCAAACAGCGCATAGGATCGACGAATACATACTCGAGTGGGGGTAGTTCGAGGGTTTTAGGGTTAGAGCAAGGCCTAGCAGCAGCCTTTTGATATCAAGTCAATGCTTGCACTCGCGTTTCGTACTTGCTTGCTATGGGTTATGTTAGATTTATCCTTGTGGTAGTAATAACTGACGTCAATGTATTTTCTCTTCCATGGGTGGGGAGCGCAGTCGCAACAAGACGCGCATATAAGGCCGCGTGTGCAAACAAATCCCTGCAATCCGCATTTCTACACCCTCCCTCGAGGATGGCGGGTTTGCTTGGCTTCCAACAGAAGAAGAAGGGGTGCGTTGCATCCTCCTCTGGTTACCTTCTGGGTTACACACCACACATTCATCCAAATGTCATCTCTATTTTCTTTCTTTACATTCAAACAGGGGGTCATCATGGGTTAACAAAACTGGACAAATAAGTTAGGATTTTTACAACCACTACTTTTTGTTAAAATTATTTATTTATTTGTTACTGAAATTTCCAAAAGGATTTGATATTTACTTAGGATTATTATAAGTGAAGAAGTATTTGGTCACGTTAACCGTTATATGTGGTCCATTCTAACTCAATTGAATCATCGTCAGAACGAGATAATAATCACCCGCGGGGTTATAATATCCACAGTTAGATCTATTCTCGCGTTAGAGTTTAAATCGTCGGTACCGTTTGATCCTCGAACCATGTCTCCTTTCGCTATCTCACTGTTGTGTCTACCGGAAGATCAAAACTCCCAAGAGGAATTAAGGAACAACAAAAACCTGACTTGGTAAAGAAAAAAAGGACCACCTTGCCAACATCTTCATTCCTCATCTCTTTTTTTTCATTCCAGAATTTTTATCATTCGGTTGAGATCCATCTTTCGATTTGATCTACGAACAACCAACTTACTCTTCTTCTTGGTGGGCTAAAAATTTGGTTAACAAGTTAGAAAAACACATATATTTCGTAAGTAAAAAAAATGAGCAAGATTTTTTTTTAAACGAAAGTGGGGATGTGTGTTAGTGGTGAGGGGTTGCACGAGGAAATTTGAAGATCTTTAGGATGATTTGTTTCTTCGAAGTTATATGTCGGTAAAAGGTAAAAAGAAATTCTCTATTTTCGGTATTATGCGGTATATCTTTTTTAAGCCTAATTTTTTAAGCATTTTTTTTTAAACCTTAAACCCCCCTAGGGGAACATTGTCGTCGACCCGTAGAGAAGCATAGATTTAGTTACATCCCTTTTGCGATCCCCTTACAACACCCTTATACATCCCACTTTCACCCTTATTTTTTTTCCTTTCTTTTCCTTTCTCCGTTCATTTTCAACATTCTCCCGATAGACTTTTTTGTTTTTTTTACTTTCTAATTCTAATTATTTTTCAAATACTTTCTTTTTTTTTGTTTTTTACGCGAACCGTGCGTTTTTTGATATAACGAAAGGAACACGTTTTTTATCAGAGTCGCACAAGGACTTGTTGAATAAAAAAGTCGAGAAGAAAAAAAAGAATTCCGAACGAATCTTTTTAACATACCATCCATCCACCCCCGGCCTTCGTCCCCTTCCCCCGCTGAGGACATAAGAAAGGAAAGGGAATAAGAGATTTTTGTCGCTCGTTGGACAACCGGAACTAATTTTTGAATTAGAAACTTTTATTGCATTATTATCATTTCGTTATTGCACATTCGTGCTGATCTTTTTAATTCAATAGTAAATTTTATTTTTTTAGTTGTCATCCTTCATCATCCTTTTGACACACGTTTAGTAACAATACAAAAAACAAATTATAATCGATTAAGGACGATAATTCATTCAATTAACAAAAGGTTCCTTTTTTTCCCTTATGCATTTATCTGTGTATGTATATGTGTTGTATAAAAAATCTTTGGAATGCAGTTGAAGATTTCATCAGATTTTGTTGCATACAATTTAGAATAGAAGTTCATGATGCTGCATTTGATGACATTGAATTTATTGTAAATAAAATTGTTGAATATGTTTATTTATCAATGACAATATTAGTTAATATTAAATAAATTAATATTATATATATATATATATATATATATATATATTTAATTTTTATAAATTATTTAAATATTTATATAAAATATATAATATATATATATTTATATAAAAAAATTCGTAAATTACTGTATATAATAATTTATGAAATATATTATATATATAAAATTATAGAGAATATTGTGTGTATAATAATATAAATATTTTTGTAAATTAAAATTTAATTTTCATAAATTAAATACAATACAATTATAATTACATTAATATAATTAATTCAAATACAATTAAATTAAATACAACAAATTTATTATTTTTAATTTTCATAAATGTGTTTAGGATTTTTTAAAACATTATTTTTATAAAAAAAAAATTATAAATTCTTGCACGCGCAAACGCAATTTAAAAATAAACGTATAAATAAAATAATAATATTATTTTATTATCTAAAGTATATTCGTTAATCTCAATTCGACACGGATTAGCACAATTAGTCATGGATTTTCCTGAAAAGAAACCACACTCATAGAAATGTATTCAACAATAAAAGGAGACATCTTACCTAATCCCTCATCCCTTACACACACCAAGTCATCGAAGGTTTAGAATACTTCAACACTACCAAACCTAAAACTTAACACACTTGCAGGTCAACACAACTATACATTAACATATCTAAAAATCAACGGATTTACAGAAAAACTCGTTTGAAGATTCAACACACACACTTTTATAAAAATACTCACACATACACACTCATAACAGAACCACGAATTTGCTGGAAATGTATGGAATATTACCACACACGTGAACATTTTGGTACGTTCCTAACTTCGTGACTATTTCAACCCCTCGTAGTCGTAGTACAGCAGCTAGTTTCCAGAAGCATGGGGCCACTTTTTGATTGTGTCAGGTAGAAATGAAAATACACAAGTGGACCAACAAACGAGTCCTATTTGAATCGACAATATCTTCTTCTTCTTCCCTCAAAAAAAAAAAAAGAAAGAAAAAGAAAATCTATGAATTTTTCCTCCTTCAAACCTTTTTCTCTCTCACATCGAAAAGAAAAAAAAATGATTGACAATCGATCAAAAGTTCAAAGTTTGCGAAATGTTTTTGAAAAAGGGTTGAGGATACCTTTTTTTTTAAATAAGATCAAGGTTACATTTTTAATGGATGACAGTTTAAAGAGAATTTGATGAGAGTGATTTGTTATTTTTCGTCGAAAGATTTTGTTTTCTAGCCTGTGTCAAAGATTCTTAGAATGATTCTCAACAACACATTAGAAAAATTAGAAAAATAAAAGTTTAGTTGAGTCTTTTAAATTGTCGGAAATTCTTTGAGATCAATGATGCGTAAGAAGAATAGAAATGAATTATTTGCGGAATACAACAAACGTTTAATCTTCGATCTGTTGTTCCTTTTTTCACAGATTTTCCGCAATACTTCAAACTAATCCTCACCTACCATGAACAAGGATTTTAAATTCATCCTCATAGAAAACTACAAAAAGATTAAAAAGAAAATAGAGATGAAATATTGAATTTGTGGATAAAGAATTTTCTAAGGATCTTCTTCTATGTCGGTTACTCAAATGTAAATCTTTGTAAATATAAGACGATTAAATTTGAAATTCATCGTAGCAACACTTTGAACGCCGACAGAAGATTTCAATCAAATTCAACGTTTATATTTGGACTTTCTAACACAATTGCTATTTTACAGAATTTCGTTAGAAAACAACTTTGAATTAAATTGTTAATGCTATGTGATCTGACATTCACCAATTTCGGTCTTTCACGGTAATATATTGGGTTGTCCAGAAAATTCTAAAGATTGAAATGCAACGCATTTAAATTTATTTTTTTTTTGTATTATATTATTTATATATTATATTTATTTGGTATTATATTTATTTTATATTATATTATTTATATTATTTGGTATTATATATATATTTATAACATATATAATATATAAATATATATTTTTTAAATATATATTTAAATTATATTATATTATTATTATATTATATATATTAATTTTAAAAATATATATTTTTGGTATTATATATATTTATTAAATTAATATATAACTACACTTCTGTGTTCTAGAACCTTTCACCATCTTTATGAGTAACTTATACATTTAGTTCTTCCAGAATTTTTCAGGTTTTTTTCAATAAAAGAACATATTGCCATCTATCGGAAATCTACACGAACTTTCCGGACAACCCAATACATATATATGTTCTAGTTTTCTTTTTTCCATTTGATCATTCGCGAAGCAACGCAGTTGATAATAACAAGGAGTCCAATACTGTGGGCCACACTAGACACTTAGCCTTGATAGAGTTACATTGATGGACAAAGGTTGGTGAAAAGAAGGCTCGTTAAAGTCGTAAAGCTATTGATTCTAATATACCGAACAGCGCCTTAACAAAAAAAGCCAATATTTGCACGCACAAAAGATGGATCATAGAATGTCGTCCGACTAACTCATTCAATTCGCTCAACGTCCGCTCGGGGGAACAAGCAAATAAAACAAAAAAAAAATGGACAAAAATAACATCTGACGTTTCTCCTATTACATTTTATTTCATCGTGTGTATGTGTGTGTGTGCCTGTGTGTGTATGAAAACCTTTAGCTTGGTCAATATAAATAATCTTAAATAAAATTGATAAAAATAATCGGATAATGGTGTATGTTGATGATGATGGTAGTTTATTTAGGTTACCTTTTTTTTGTATTTTAATTTAATGGTAATAAAAAGAAATAAAAGAAGGTACAAAAATATTTGGCCCTACGAAAAATCGTAGAAGTAGCATGAAATTTTTACAATCGCAAATATAACAAACCGAGAAACCAAAAATTCTATCTGAATTGTATTCTATTTTATTTTTTTTTCCTTTTCGTGAAAAAAGGTTCTGTTGTAAAGTCGATTGCAGGTGGAGGATTATAAAAATTTTGCCCTTTCTTTTCCTTTTTTTTTATTTTTATCTTTTTTGTACCTTAAAACCCTTAAACACGAAGGGGATAAAAGTGTGCCATAAAAGTTAGGGTTATTTTATTTTGTAGAAGAAACTCAACCGGTACTATCAAGATGGCGATTTACGTGGCAAACCATATGGAAAACCACAGAGTAGAAGGAAGAAGGATCTATTCCAAAATATATGACCGTGTAGAGGGATGAGGCAGGGGAGTGCAAAAAGGATACAGGGACTTGGAAACGAACGATAGAAAACTCTTTTATGGTATTTTGTTTCTTCTCTTTTATTAGAAACTAGTTTAACGATCTTGGAAGATTTTACGAAATGTATTCCTTATATTTCACAAAATAAAAAAAAGGTAAAAGAAAATATTAGGCCCAGTAAATTATTTTTGTTTTTTATTATGGGAAACGATATAAAATAAAAAAATATGTATTATATATAGGGTGGTATATTTAAATCGTAGAAAATTGTGGCACACAGGAGTTAGTATTTTACTTTGAATCAATCGAAGTTACTGTATACTTACTGTATACTACTTGTAGTAGTCTATAAGGTTTCCTCTTTCGTTTCGCGTTCCTCGAACGCCTTCCCCGATAATTGGCATTCGGTTACGTCGATAAAGGGATACTTCTGACACGCCTTATATTTTTTTTTCCTTTTTTTTTTTCTTCTTCTTTCCTTTCCTTTCTGTCCAACAAGTTTATTCCTATGTTGCATAGGTGGGCACTCGCAAAACCGTATCAATATTTATAGCACCTCGTTAATTCCCCAGGATAGATCGGTTTCGGATATCAGAGATGTTATCCTTAGAAAGGTGAACGCTTCTTATCCATCTAACGAGATTCAATTTAGATTTTTATCTCTTCTTATATTTCCTTCAATTTTATTTTTTCTTTCTCTTTTTCCTTTTTTTTTTAACGAATACACAAACATCATCGGATAAAAATATAAAGCTTGGGATAAATTCTTGTTCTAATTTTATGAATGAAATGTATCAACCAAAAATTTTTAGAAACTCGTATGAAAATTTCTATCAATGAATAATAAATATTTAAATTTAAATAATTAAATATTTTCAATTATTAATTTACAAAAATTAATTGAACAAATTATGTAGCAAGTTATAAACTAAAATTAGAATATTAAAGTTGTAAGTAAAAAATTAATTACAAAAATAAATTAAATAAATTATATAGTAAACTGTAAACTGATATTAGAATATTCGATATATTTTATATATTTAAGTAAAAAAAAACAATTTAAAAATTTGTAATAAACCTTTCTCTCTTGAAAAAAAATTTGTAGGAAGATCCAATCATAAAAGTCTCGAATGGAGTGGCCAGAGTTTCGCTTGTTTTTGTAATGCCAGTAAAAGGTCCAGACGATCTTGTAATTCAATATATGCATATGTTAACATACATTTAAAATGTATGCATAGTAAACGATATACATACATATCATCGTCATCATCATCATCATCATCATCATCAGAATGAGAAGATAGAAAAGAAACGTTCTCTGCTTTTCTTCAAACATTTTTTGATGACACAAGGACTCTCCTTGTCAGTAATTCCTCCCCTTACCCTTTTCACCTACATAATCCAATTATTATTATTATTATTATTATTATTATTATTATTATTATTATTATTCGGGGTCAGCTAGGGAAAGAAGACGTAGACAAGAAAAAAAATGTGACGAACAAACTGGTGTGTAACAGTATAAAACCGGTAGCAATACAATCGTTCGTTTTAAATCAACAAAACCATTCATGTTATTTTCTGTTCAGTAGGAAAACAAAAAGATTTAGGGTGGTGTCCAATAATCTATTGGGTTTATATATTCAAACTTATGACCAGTGGTTCTTAAAATATAAATTATAATTCCTAAAAGGATAATAATAATAAATTTTCTTCAATTTTATATTATTTCCATTATTAAATATTAATTTGTTAATAAGAATTTTGATGCAACCCTGACATAGTACAATATTACAAGGATAGTAATCATAAATTTTCTATTACTATGATATTGTAATAATAAATTGTATTCAATTTTATATTATTTCCATTATCAAATATTAGTTTATTAAAAAAAAACTCTGATGCAACCCTGACATCCTATAATAATGTTTTCAAACAATTCAAATTGATAAATATAAAATATATTTGTATATTAAAAAACAAAAATATTAAGAACCACTGAAATCTGTAGGACACTGTATACCTCAAAGTACAACCTTTGATAATTGTTCGTAGCAAAATTTCAAGTTAACATGGCTCCGTCATATCTTTATGACGGAAGAAGGGACGAGGGGTACACACACCTGGAACATCTGGAAAAATTGTCGAAGGAAGTTGTGGTGGGGAATGAGATCTCACTTATAACACTCTTTGAATATTCTCAACTGTTTCTTTGACTTTTGAATTTGAGATATGTGTGTGTATACTTGAATAAGCACAGTTGTGTGGTGTGGATATATACAATTTCATCAAGAAACCGGGCACTTTGCATTGATGCATCAATTATTATCCCTTAGAGAAGTGGAGCGATGGGTATCTGTTGTAAACCGCACCCCGAGTGTCTATCTGTCAACGTGTACGTGTGCTTGTGTATACGTGTGAAACAGAAAATAAGTCAAAGAGAGAGGGAGGTTGATTGTGGGGTGGGTTGTAGGGGTTGGAGGGGACCTAGTGTTCATGAAGAAGGAAGGAGAAGGCGTGAATGCTGAGATGATTGGATAAAGAGGATATATTTTTCAGAGTTTGGACTACCTTTTGTCCTATTCCTTAGATCCTGTAAAACGTACCTTTCTGTGCTGATTTTGCCGACACATATTGGATAGAAAGAGATGAAGAATAAGAAGAAAAAATAATATAGATCCCCCCGTCTCTCTATCTATTTCTCTCTTGCTTTCCTCGTTTTTTTTCTTCCTTTCTTCCTCCTTTTGCAAATAAACTCGTCGCCGAACGAAAAAGTTGCTTCGAATGAGAAAGAAAAACCACCGGATGATATTCCCGACTTCTTTCATCGTTACTACCGAACTCCTCCGATTCTACGAAGGAGAAACGAATGACGGTTCTATCTTTTTCTTTTTTTCTTTCTTTCTTTTTTGTAACGTGAAACGAGAAACCTGTGGTTAGAAGAAACTTGCCACGCTTCTTCTACTTCTTCTACTAACTTCTACTATTCTGTTATCCTCTGTTCAATTTTCTTTTGTAAACTTAGAAATGCTTAACGATACTTTTTATTATTATTATTATTATTATTATTATTATTATTATTATTATTATTATTATTATTATTATTATTATTTATTCATCTTTTTTCTTGTATTATTTTATTGCATAAGCTCATTTTAATTTGGGTGAGGATTTAATTTTAACTTTAATTAAATAATTATTTTCTTTTAATATCAACTAAATGGTTTGGTCTTTCAATAAACAATGATCAGAATTGTGTGTGTACTTTTTTAGATATTACATGATTTATTTTTTGTTTTGTTTTTTTTCTTTTTCGTTTTCTCATATAATCAAAGTTCTAATCTCGTTAAATAGGATTTACGTTCATTCACTCTCGTTGCTTCCACGAAGTCTCATCTCAAGTAGCAATCGGCGACGAGTGTTTCGTACGTTCATAAGTTAAAGTTACGACGTGTAAATAAACTCTAAATGCTTGCGTTGGTTTATTAGGAAACTTGTCCAGTTAAGAGATTCACTCTCCTATAGAGTTTTAACAAATTCGTTAATATTTCCCCCAATTCAAATATAAGATTCAAATTTTGCATTTAAATTATTGTAATTTTGTAATTCCGAGTTTTTAGGTATGAAAATTAAATTGATATAGTGAACAAATAAATGATAAGAATAAATTGATCAGGAACCCATGCTTATTATCAATCCTATTAAATAAATCATGGTATTTTTTTCTTTGAATTAGATAAGCTGAAAAACTAAACGTCTTCTTCAGTATTTTGTTTACTTTACACGATACCCCACTTCTTTCATCTGGCACACGAGTAATAGAAGAAGAAAGTCACTCTTTGATACTTTACGAAGAAGTTAGAAAGAGACAGATATAGGAATATGGTTGGGACTATGGTAAAAAGGAAGAAAAAAACGTTCACAAGGAAGAGAAGGTTTACGTTCATGGTTCTTGGCTACTGTTTCTGTTGCTGCTACTGTTGCTGCTCCAATTGGTGTTGGCGGTGATCTTCAAAGAGGAATCCGCGTGTTTGGCTAACATCTCTAAAACAAAGTATAAACTAACTAAACGTCCACTCGGTGTTTACTCAGTGGCGAGACTAAGAGGAAGCTCTGCTTGTTCTGTTTTTTGCCCCCCACCTAAATCCCCCATCTAAATTCATCCTTTATATATATACATATATATATATATATATGTATTTTCATTTTAATTTCATTCCCAATCGAGATCTCTAACGTTTGAATTCATTTAAATGTTAAATTAGTTATTAACAATTAGTTTGCATGGCACCAACGTGGAGCCACCAGACGTCATAGTGTTATAATAAACATTTTCAAATAAATTATTTAAAATTATATTGATATTGATATCGAATTAACATTAATGATTGACAATTTGTAGTAAAATCAGTGTTCAGTTTTAGAATGTGTAGAAAATGATGAGTTTAAAGTTGAGTTAGTATATTTGAGAGAATTTATTTGGTATCCCGGCTGTTTCCCAGCCGGTTATCGGCGACTACCAGCAAATCTTCACGCGTACTGGAATTAATCAACGAGCTGGGCCATCAAAGATCCCGAAAGCTGCCCCCCTTGAAGGAGTTTGTTTATCTCTTTGGATCTTTGGGGTATAGTAAGAAGACACGTACATTCGTATTACATGTGAATCTCTCTCTCTCTCTCTCTCTCTCTCTCTCTCTCTACTCTTCACTTAACTTCTATCTTTCTTTCTTTCTTTCTTTCTTTCTTTCTTATTTGTGCCGACAAAAATTCATTCGTTCCTCTTCTTCTTCATCTTCGTCTTCTTGGAAATCTTCTTGCATTTCTAATCGGCCAGTTCTCTAACGTCGACGAGACGAGTACCAGCCTTTACACTTCACGTTTCTCAATAAACTTTTCTTGCTTTTTCTTTATTCATTATTTCCCTTTAATCTTTGACGATAGAAAATGAGAGAGAAAAAAAACAGGATTTAGTTTATGTTTCTAAATTATTTCAATATTTATTATTATATGTTAGAGGGTGTACAGGTAATCTCAATGATATCATTTCATTTGAATTTTGTTTTAAATTTGAGATAATCTATTTCCTAGAAGTGTTATATTAATATTTCAATTACTATAAAACACACGTCATTTATTTATGCTTTTAAATAAATTTTGATTCATCCCCAATAGGGATCCTCAATTATAAATTCTATTCATTTAAAAAATATCCAACGTGGTGGGGATAATAAAAAAAAATTCAGTGATCACATTAAATAAAATATAAAACAAGTAGCAAGATTTTTGGCGGTGTTTTGTCAAACGAGCCAAAAAAAGAAAAAAAAATAATGATCTAAAGAGAGGAAACGTTTACCTCACGAGAATTTTGCTATTCCACCCTCCCCTATTCTCCTATTCCATCGTTCTTCATCTTTTCTAGTTTTTCTTTGACCTTTTATTATTCCGAACGGTATTGGGAATGGTCTTGTACCATTGGTCGATCAGTCGCAGTTATGGTTGTGTTGTGTTATATTTATATAAGGTTTCAAGGTAGCACGAGCGCCTCCGCTTTTCGTTTCGGATCGGTTATCGTAAAAAAAAGATCAACGGCGACATCACGCAGCGACAGAAAGCAAAAAAAAAATACAAAAAAAAATAGAAGGAAGAAAGAAAAACGCGTTACAGAGAACTGTCCAGACTTTCATTCAAGTTTGTTGTAGGGTTTTCAAGTTAAAATTTGTATTGGTTATGTTGTCGCATACTACTCATGTCTAATATTACATGGAAACTTATACGTCGCCATTTTTCAAATTAAATTAATTGATACCCGTATTTTTTATCAAATAATTTTCCTTCAAACTTTTCTATTTTATATATTTTGCAATAACAATTTTATTTGTTCTTTGAACACTGAATTTTAGATTTTAATTTGAAATTATTTTGACAAACAAAAACAACTTATACATGAAAATAACAAAATATATTTATATAAAAATTGTTTATATATTACGTAAATACATTGATTTATTTTTAGGAGTCAACTTTCAAAAAGTTAATATTATACAATTCCTTTTGGAGCATAACTTTCAACGACACCATTTGTCAATATGGCGTTGCATTTCTCCTTTTTTTTTTCGTCTTCTCTATTTTCAAACGAAAAGATTTCATTTCCTAGACTATGATCCCACTTGATGTACGATTCTAAAGTTACTACGAAGATGTTAGTTGTAAATAAGCCTCCTCTTTCTCTTCCACGATCTTCACCTTCATCCCCCGCTTTCCTTCAGCTTTCTCTATCTGCAGTCTTTTGAGAAGTTCTGTTCAACACCAGTGCAAGGTGGCTCGTGTCACGACCCTAGGGATGTAATAGAAAGTTTTAAAACTGTAACATATAACACGCACGAGAAATGTAGTCTCGTTTTCTAACTACCAGGATTTGTCGTCGAACGAAATTTAACACGAATAGGAAGAATATAGTTTAATAAATATATAATGGTTCCGGTTGTTAAAAAAAAGGATTAAAAAGAAACGAAAGGGTTTGATCAATTGTTTTTGTCTATTATTTTATTCTTTATGTTAAATATTACGTTGATATTTTTTTAATTAATTAATAATTCGTCTGATACTAACGGAATTATTACGGAGACTTCAATGCGTGCATGTGTCCTATTGAAAATCAGTTTTCGTGTTGAATAATATTTTATAATTTAATATTAATTTTTAATTTAACAAAAATATTATTTATGATAAATTATGATTCTATAAGTGCACTTAAACCACCATAAAAATATTCACAATTTTTGTATATATATATATATATATATATACATGTAAATAAATCAAAGTAAAATGAGATGTAAAAGTATCACGCGGATAGGCGTATGATAATCGATTAGGTTTACAGTAAAATAGTATAACGAGTCGGTTTAAAATGCTTTTACAAACTATTATATCCTATTTCCATCCCGCTGAGAATAACGAAGGATACAGATACCAAATTCTATAAGGGATGAATATGATTTTAAAGTACTATTGGTCATCTGCAGAAAAAAAGGGATTTCTAACAAAAAGGTCACGCTAGTCTAACGCAAAAGTTCGTGGTAAATGAATGTGTCTCCCAACAGGACGTTATAGATTAGGAAAAGTTTGTCCTTCTTTGTCCTTACCAATAGGCCCCTGAAAGTTCTCTTTTTTCCTATTCTTCCTTTCCTTCTTCATTTTATTTTTTCATTTTATTGTTTCTGTTACTGTTATCCGAACTGAAGAAAAATGCTTTTCCCTTCCATTTGACTTGACCAAATTTATTTAATTTCCTTAAAAAAATAGAAAAAGAACCTCCAAATGTCCTCCCATTGTTCGGCACCTTTCATCTTATTTCAATAGTTTTTTTTTATTTTTTTTCCCTCTTGAACTGGACATACATGTGTGTATCTGTCGTAGACGAATGATCAAACAATTTGTTAGATAAAAATCAATATATTTAAGAACAAAGGTCTTAAATCATTGTATCAATTATTTAACTATTATTAGCTGGTGTGAAATTATTCACTCATACATACAAAGTAAAATATCATTGATCTTAAATATATCTGAAAATAACTACATGCCTTCTAATTAAGTGTTTATACAATGTCAGTTAAAACACGAAACGTTTCTAACTTTTGCCAAAAGCACATTCTTTCCGTAATTGCCATAAGGAATCGTTCACATTCGTAGCATGAATAAAAAAAATAAAAAAAAAATAAAATAGAAACCACAACAAGTAGGAAGACTAATTAAAAAATTAATTCAAACTTTTAAGATGTTGTTTTGTATGAATTTTATTATTAGAATAATCTTCTAGGGAATTCGAAATAAAAATTGTAATAATCGAACCGATATAACAATCTCGTTACAATAATCAACCGAAAAAAAGGAAATCAAATCGATTTACTGTGAGCATTGAAAAAGAACCGAGCCCACAGGGGTCAATTACCGTGAGAGGGTGGTCGTTTGTTGGATGGGATCATTATCGGGGACAAAATTGTACGTATCGTTGGAATATTCCAGAATCGTTGAAAAACACGACATAACTACACATGCATCGAAAAGAATGGTGGGTTGGGTTTGTTCAGCAATTGGATTACTGAAATAAGTAAAAGTATCGAACATGAAAAAGGGGTAGGGTTCCCCACCTTCTCCCAACCCCCATTAGGTATTTATAAATCCAGATTCACGCGGTGAGACATCTGTTGGACGAGTTAATAACACTCTTCTTTTGCTTCAAACTCATCCCCTCAAATATTCTATTTTACCTTATTCTTTAGCTCGTTACTTCTACTGGAAGCCGCCGACCCCTGTTAACATCAACATTTTCTATTACCAACAACTATCCTGGTCCTGTTTTCTTTACTTTGTAGTTCAACATGTCCATGTTACTATAACCACCCCGTTATGAAGACACCCCGTAGCTTTTTTCTTCGAATGACAGAATATCTCTCTCTCTCTCTTTTTTTGTCTGATTTCTTTATTTAGTATTTGAAGGATAGGTAGCACCTACGACACAATCACATTTTTGGGTTTCACCTTTTTTTTTTTGCGGCACGAGTCTTTCATTTGTTGATACACTTTTGGAACATTTTATTTATTTATTTGATCTTCTTTTTTTTTTCTCTCTCTCTCTCTTTTTACTTGTAGTTGTTGTTGTTGTTGGTCCATTCCTTGCGTTTTTCCTTCAACATAAGTTTCTTTATCTGTATCGTTTGGTCTATTTAGTGCTTGTTAGCGGGTACAATAGGTCGCAGCTGATCCCCTTAACGAGGTCGAAACTTTCGCATTGTGCGAGGGTGTTGTAAGCCTTGTCGCGTGTCCCAGACGACGCTTAACACCGTGTGGACGTTTTCACAAAGTATAAACGAATATATATATACATACGTTAGAACCAATCTACCAAATACCTAAGACCCCCTGTAGTCTTTCTAAAAAAAATCAAAAGAAATACGAAATACATTTTCTATGTTAAATTTAACAACCGGAAATACTATCAATCCCCATGTAGATTCTTTGCTT